AGCAAGGAGACAGGAGGAGTCACTGGAGGTGCCCTGCAACTGGGCCACAAAACCCTCTGCTTGTCCTACAAAACTCTGTGCTACCTCTCTCTGACACACCTGCAGCTAGATGCCAGCAGATCAAAGGAGTTCATTGTCCCTAGCCTTCAGGATGTACCCTTCTTCCCACAGGGTGTGCTTGGAAAACAAATGTTCCTTCCCAGCCCAGCCCCCGGACTCTGCGCAATGCAGAAAACCCCCTCTGTTTACCTTGCCCTCAGACTCCAGGCACACCACTTGGCCTTTTCAGCATTCCCAACACCATTTTCATCCTCCTGGCACACTCCTAGCTCCACCTTTCGCACTTGGCACACACAGTGGCCCCCAACTCACCAGTCCCATCCTGAATTCGAATGACAAAGTAGCGGCTGGAATCTGCCACAGTCTCCACTGCAATGCCGGGGTACTGATCTATAGGAGCCTGGGCAAAAAGTTCTCCTGCAGACAAAGAAATGGGTGTTAAGGAGAGCGAACCCTTCCTGAAGTGAGGCCAGGGCTGCCATGCACAGCTCTGGGCAGGCTTAGAAACACAGGCCCACGGGCAGCAATCACAGTCGCAGCGTTGCCAAGGCACAGCCCTTCCCTTACCTGAAACCTTATCCTCCAGTTTTATATAAGCAGTTTTGCCTTTGGAGGTGACACGAAGCCTCCCTGTCCAGTCTGGATGGTCCAGTTTCCAGTCAGATGCCCTGAAAGGAAGAGCAGCTATCACTGACCATAGTCAACCTCTCCAATTCTGCCCAGCCACCTCAGCAGAAGTCTCTTCTCCCAAACCGTCAACCCCCATAGATATCTCATTGCACTTCCCTCCCAAAATAAGGCATGAGGTCTCAGTTTCTCTCTTGTTGCCGCCAATTGACACACAACTCTGACTGGCATCTCTGGGCAAAGGGAAGGAGACACAATCCAGAGAACATCAACTCCTCACCTTTATAAGCTTGCAAAAGAAGGGAGACAGAAGCCCCCAAACTCACTTGAACAGGAAATCCACAAAAGTGACTTTTGTGAGCATTGGGAAGACCCCAACAATTAATTAGTAACACACTGAAAACACTCCATTATTCTACCCTATTGTTGTAAAATAACAGAGTACAGGCAGCTGACACCAGGCAAAACACACACACAGACATTTTGACTGACCCATCACACTCTTTGCCACAGACTACACCTACGGCATCACAGAATATTCTGAGTTGGAAGGGGTCCACAAGGATCACTGAATCCAACTCCTAGCCCTGCACAGGACACCCCAAAAATGACACCATGTGCCTGAGAGCATTGTCCAAATGCTTCCTGAACTTTGACAGGCTTGGTGCTGTAAAATCTACAGGACTTTATAACTGGAAACAGACATCCCTGGCCAGGCACAACATCCGCCTACAGTCTGTCAGGTTCGGGGAGTACACAAACCCGCTTCTCCAGCAGGCCTGTGGGCACATCTTACAAAGTCACACTCTGCTGCTTTTGGCTGACCAGAGAAGGTATTTCTAACTGCTGGTCTTGCAGCCTCTTCTTAAAAATTACCCCGAATTCCTCCTGCTTTCCTCCCCGCCACTGCGAGAGCCACCAGGCCAAATCAAACGTGCCGTTGCAGCACATCAGCGTCACATTCCCGGGAACCCAGCAAACCGGGAGCAGACGTCAGCTCTGCCTTCAAGAGCTGTGCCCTGACCTCCTGCCCCTGACTAACAGTCAGTCCCTGCTCCTCCACAGCACGGAGAGGAGGCTCCTCTACCTTCAGGCGTTGACCGCTTGCCCACATGAGGCAACTCCAGCCGGCGGCTCCTCCAAAGCTCGGCTGGAGGCGTCTCAGGGGATGGCCAGACCTGCTCGCGGCCACAGGGCACGGCTTTCCACGGGGCGAGGCCAGGACGCGACACGGCACAGCCCAGCCCGCGGCTGCCGTGCGGGCAGGGGCTGAGGCGGGCCGGGCCGCGCCGGGGAGATCGAGGGCGCCGCACGCTTCCTCACCTGTACCCGCGGTTGGAGGTGCGCGGCGGGATGCGGTAGACGTTGACATCGGGCTTCACGCAGAGAACAGACTCGTACTCCAGCTCGGCCGCCGCCATTTCGGCCTCGAAGCCCGGCGAGGAGCGAGCGGCGGGAGCCTAATGACCAGCGGCGCTGCCCACCGCCATCTTTGATGAGGGCAGACACCGCTTGGGGGCGCCGGCGCGGCCGGGCCAGACGCGGGCCACGTCGGAGAAGCGGATGGAGCCATCTTGGATGCTGGCAGCGGGCAGCGGGGGCGGGAGGGCGCCATCTTGGAGCCGCCCCTGACACAGCAGCGGCGGCGGCCGGCGCCATCTTGGGGCCTGGCAGGTCCCGCGGCGGGGCTGACGCGGCCATGCTTGCTTGGGGCGCCATCCCGGTGCCGGGCAGCGGGGGGTGGCGGGGAGAGCACGAGTGGTTGTTCCGCCACACGGTGTCGGCCTGCTCCCCTGGATCCCCGGGCACCGCTCTCCTGCCGCCCTGGGGCGGACCTGGCGGGTTAAGCGTCAGTGTTCTTTCTGTGGTGCGGGGGTTAGGTGGCTCTTTGGTGAAAGAGTAAGCCATAAAGGACATGCGGCACGAAGCACGACAGGTTTTCCTGCTGGAAGTGATAGAAATGCCAGCTATGCAAAGCTTAGTTTCAGGAGTGGGTCTTCTCCCATAATGTGGCCAAAGTTAAGGGTGTAGATACTGGTTTGTTTATCAATAATGATAAGGCTGGCGGCGTTTAAACCACTCAATGATAGTTTCTCAGTGGAGACTGGTGTTGAAGTTTAATGCTGTGCAGCATCCTGTGACCGAGTCTCAAAATGTACCAATGTTTACTCTGAGAAGTGCAAGAAAAGGCATAAGAAAAGTTTAAAAATTACATAAAGCCATGTCTAAGCATTCCATGTCAAGCATTGGAACAGGGGTGGTGGAGTCACCATCCCTGGAAGTATTGAGGCAAAAATAATAATCACTAAAACATCACTAAGTTTGAGGTTTTGGGTTGGGGGGATGGTGGTGGTTTTTGGTTGGTTGGTTTTTTGTTATTTGGTTCTTGGGTTTTTTGTTTGGTTATGTGTGGTTTCTTGGGGAGTTTTGTTTTGTTTTGTTTTGTTTGCTGGTTTTCCCAGGAGAGAATAGTAGTAGTTAATGCAGACAGAGCCATTCCCAGCCATGTCTATCTAGTCATCATTCTCTATATTTTTTCTTGTTGTATAACTTTTAGAGTTCAAGGGCCAATACAGCATTCAGAATTCAAGAAGAAACTTACATTTGCCTTTTGGGTAGAGTTGCTTGTTGACCTAATTTTTCATTAGAACTTCCTGCAGTGACTGCTAAGCTTTTTCATTGAGCGCTAATAACTTACGGGGAGTACACCCCTCCATGTGCATAAGTTACAGTTGCTTTTCCAAGTTCAATGATTCACAATTAACAGTATTAAATTTCACCTCCTTCTTTACAGTGCTGTCATTCAGCGTGCCACAGTCCTCCTACTGTCTCTCTAGAAGGAGAGCATCTCGGATGAGGCAATGGCAAAGGGCCAGCTATTACAAGGCATGTGAGGAAAGACTTACAAGCAGCACCAGAACACCAGGAGTATATCTCCCATTCAATTCCATTGAGACCTGACCAGCAGAGAACATAACATTCTCTTGCTTGGTTCACACAAGCATCTTTGGACCAAAAAAATACAAAGCACTGCCAATAACCACTGAAGTTTAAAATTTTTTTTTTTTTTTAATTTTTTGTTTGTTTGTTTGTTTTTAAGGATTCAGCAGAGAGGTTGAAATCTTGAAATAGAACATATTGAACCTGGAGGATAGAACTGATTAAGGACCATCCTGCAAAGTAGGGCTTGACTGGCAGGTCCCATGGTGGTGACCAGGCTATGTGCCCCTCAGCCAAGAGGAGACCATAAGGAATAAGGTTAAGTGCTCCTATCAGCACTGCCTGTCTGGGCCCGAGGAGTCCCCGTGGTAGGATGGCAGCAGAGAATAAGATGAAACTACAGGAATTTTCCTGGCAGGCTGCTGATAGCCTGTCTATCTTTGTGGCTACAGCTCAGCCCTGGCCTGTTCTTCCTTTTTCTTGTTTTGTGTTGGAGGCAGCATCTGTGTCTTTCACAGACATACTCAGGAGCAAAAATCTGCTCTGTCACGGTTCATTTTCCAGACCAAAACCAAAATAGAGGCTGATTCTTGTATGTCTGGGCTTTTGTCATTTCTGCTAGCAGTCTTGATTTCCCAAATTGTGACGGGCGTGGGGGAAGTCCCTTGTTGAGCACTAGAAATGCCTTGCCCTGGAAGTCTTCAATTTTTGTTGTCTTGCCATATTTTGTGCAAATCAGCATTTCGGTTAACCACTTCTAACATTTTGTCAGTCAAGTTCCTTTTTAAAGAATAGACTTTTAATAGCCTGAAAAGTAAAAGGCAGATTTAAATCCTTTTGTTAAGACCAGTCATGGTTTGCCGAGTTCAGTATTCAGTATTTGATGAAGTAAACTGTCTCAAGCTGGGACAGAAGCTGATCTGGATTGGTAAGAATCCTAGAAATGGGATTAGCTAGGTGAACATGCTGACCTGTTAAGACATAGAAGTGTCTACAAGACAATAACAGAGCAGATATTTCACAGCGACATGGCAGGGTTTGGACTTGGGAATTACTTCCAGCAAAGGTCACATTGTGTCAACAGGCAAGATGTCATTCAGTTGTCATACAGAATATAGTAAAGTATATGTCTGTGATTACCGTTCCCATGCTTCCTATTAGTATTTTATTTAGAGCACTATTCTATTTTGACAGTTTTGAGGAACTTCCTGTGGTTTGACTCTTTATTTTATGAGCATATGATATCTAAGTCTTGAAATGATATTCAAATGAGTAATTTTATCAGGGTGAAAGAACACACTTGGCACACACATGCGCATGCAGAAAAAAAATGCAGTTCCTAAAATGTCATGTGAGAGTTTTTTCAGTCACTTCAGAGACAGGATTGATGGTACTTGCTCCAACACACTGAAATAGCTGCTGCACTCAGGTAGGTATGATAAGCTGGAGAATTTTGCTTTCCTCATCTACTTGCCATTTATTATTCTTCACTCCTGAAAACCTCTCTCCCTCCTCCAGTTCCCCCTTCCATTTTCAAACCACATTGCAACCCTTTTAACTCTCTGGAAAACATAGTGTGGGCAGTATCTTCTAATTGATTTGTCCCTCAGTTTACTTTGAAGTAGGACTTGCATTACTATTTTGCAGCATTCCTTGTTTCCCTGTCTTCTTCATAGCATTTTCTGTAGCTATATGGGGAGGCAGCAGGGTTCCACTCTTGCAGCACTGTTCACCAATTGTCCCTCTAAAAGTTGCTTCTACATGGATCAGCAAGACCACAGGAAATGGAACAAACTTGTGAGTTTTAAATTAAGCCTCCAGTTTTAAGTTAAGCCTTCCAGTAACTTCTTTCATAGCTTTCCTTGCAGGTCACCCTCACTTACAAGTCTCTTGGGAGATATTACCAAAAACTGATAAATCACAATGTTTGTTACAATTGTTTATCTCATTTCATTCTTAGTGAAGCAGTTCAAACACTTAGGCATCGCTTTACTTTCAGACTGCATGTTATGCAAGAATGAGATTGATGATTTGATTTTTTTTTTAAATAACATTTATATTTAGTCCTGCATACAACAGTCTCTGACTAGTATTTAAGCACTGGCATAATAGAGGTTAAAAGAGGGTCAGTTGTCTTATTAATGCCTTCTCAGTTGTTTCTGCAGGCTGTATTCAGCTCTTCCCTATTTAGTTTCCTTGCATTTTGGTAACATTTTTGGGACCTTTCAGTAACACAACTGCCTTCATCAATTCAGCAAGGGTTACGTTAACAGGAGTATTATAGACAATTCTATTAATGCCTAAAGGATGAAGATCAGGGTTTTTTTCCTCATTTCTGTCTTGTCTATGGTGGTTCTCTTTTCCTTTCTAAATTTACAAAGTCCAAGAATAATTGAGCAATGAACATTTTTCCTCTACTATGGTAAAATGTCACTTAAGTATGCTGTAGGTCAGCTTCATTGTCTTGCAGTGAGACACCTCATATCTAAAATGGCTCAGGAACTTTACTCTGTATTTTTATTTTTACTTCTACAAGTAAATACCTGCCTGTTCTTCTTAAACATTCATTTCTTATCTTTCATAAAATCTTAAACCATTAGTGTCTTGTCTTTCTCCTGGTCAAGATAAGCTTTCCAAGGAACCAGCAGACAGCTCAGAACACATACAAAGGAAAAGGAAGTGGTCACTGGCACTTCCCTAAAATATCCCTTAGCCAACAGAGTTATGTCCTGCCTGTTCTATTTGTAATGCTCAGAAAGTGAAGCAGGGTTATTTCAGAAAGACAGGCATTGCTTTCTTAACTTAAATGTACGTCACCAGTTATGCCAGAAAAAATCACCTCTTTTAAAGGAAACGGGAACTAAAAATGCTGATTTGCCTTTCTGAAGCAGGAAGTCAGTCAGGAAACACACGTGGGGACAGCATGGCCACATGAATAGAGAGCTCCACTTTGGAGACTAAGAAGAACCAGATGGAAATCAAAGGGATGATAGAGATAGGAGTACATAACTGTATAGAGCCCCCTGTTTGAATAGCAGGTTTATGTAACTTAGCCCCCACAAAAATGATGAAGGTATACAACAGGCACACTAGTAACAAACTTGTGCAGGCCAATGCCTTTGTACCCTAACAGCTCTGTACTGTCACCTGACTCAGGGATGCTTCAGTAAAGCTTAAGAGAAGAATCTGGAGAGGAGAATCACAGAATCACTAGGTCCAACCTATACCCTAACACTTCAACTAAACCATGGCACTGAGTGCCACATCCAGTCTTTTTTTAAACACATCTTGGGATGGTGACTCCACCACCTCCCTGGGCAATCATTCCAGTACTTCATCACTCTTGCAATAAAAAACCTTTTCCTAATATCCAACCTATTTCCCTTCGCACAGCTTGAGACTCTCATGTGTCCTCTTGTTCTGTCAGTTCCTGCCTGGAGAAAGAGACCAACCCCCACCTGACTACAGCCACCTTTCAAGAAGTTGTAGAGAATGATAAGGTCACCTCTGGGTCTCCTTTTCTCCAGGCCAAACAACCCCAGCTCCTTCAGCTGTTCCTCACAGGGCTTGTGTTCCAAGCCCCTCACCAGCCTTGTTGCCTCCTCTGGATGTGTTCAAGCATCTCAATGTCCTTCCTAAACAGAGGGCACAGAATTGGACACAGCACTCAAGGTGTGACCTCACCAGTGCCAAGTACAGGGGAAGAATGACCTCCCTGCTCCTGCTGGCCACACTATTCCAGATACAGGCCAAGATGCCACTGGCCTTCTTGGCCACCAGGGCACACTGCTGGCTCATGTTCAGTCAGCTGTTGATCAGTACCCCCAGGTCCCTTTCTGCCTGGGCACTGTCCAGCCACACCAGCCCCAGCCTGTAACGCTGCAGGGGGTTATTGTGGCCAAAATTCAGGACTCGGCACTTGGACTTATTAAACTTGATCTTACTGGACTCTGCCCATCCATCCTACCATTCCAGGTCTGTCTGCAGAGCCCTCCTACCTTCCAACAGATCAACACACGCTCCCACCTAAGTGTCATCTGCAAATTTACTAATGAAAGACTCAATCCATGTCAACAATGAAAATATTGAACAGGACTGGCCCCAGCACAGAGCCCTGAGGGACACCACTGGTGACTGATCCCCAGCTGGAAGCAGCACCATTCACCACCACTCTCTGGGCCCGGCCATCCAGCCAGATCTTAACCCAGCAAAGAGTGCTCTTGTCCAAGCCATGGGCTGCCAGCTTGTCCAGGAGTATGCTGTGGGAGACAGTGTCAAAGGCCTTGCTGAAGTGCAGGTACACAGCACCCACAGCCTTTCCTGCATCTACCAGGCAGGTCACCTGGTCATAAAAGGAGATCAGGTTGGTCAAACATGACCCACCCTTCCTAAACCCATGCTGGCTGGGTCTGATACCCTGGTCATCCTGTAAATTCTGCATGATGGTACTCAGTATAAACTGTTCCATAACCTTACCAGGTACTGAGGTCAGGCTAACTGGCCTATAGTTACCAGGATCCTCCTTCCCACCCTTTTTTGTGAATGGGCTTCACATTGGCCAGCTTCCAGTCATCTGGAACCTCACCAGTGAACCAGGACTGCTGGAAAATGATGGAGAGCGGCTTCACAAGCTCACCTGCCAACTCCCTCATCACCCTGGGATGAATCCCATGTGGTCCCATAGATTTATGACTATCCAAGTGGCTCAGCAGTTCTCTGACTGCCTCCTCCTGGATAACAGGGGGACTGTTCTGCTTCCTGACATCAACCAACCCAGGAGGACAGCTGTCCTGAGGACAAGCTGTCTTACCACTAAAAGACGGAGGCAAAGAAGGCACTAAGCACTTCTGCCTTCTCCTCTTCTGCACTTACTAAGTTTCCTCCCTCATCCACTAGAGAACAAAGGTTGATCTTACCCTTCCTTTTGCCATTAATGTATTTGTGAAAACATTTTTATTATCCTTTACACAAGTTGCCAAATTAAGTTCGAACTGAGATTTGGCCTCCCTAATTGTTCTCCTACGTGCCCTAGCATCCCCCTTAAAGACCTGACCCTCCTTCCAAAGATGATGCATCCTCTTTTTATTTCTAATTTCCTTCAAAACCTCGTTGCCCATCCAGGCTGCACGTTTGCCTCATCAACATGTCTTTTGGCACACAGGAACAGTCTGTTCCTGTGCCCTCAGGGCCTCTGTTTTGGAACATGCCCACCTTTCCTGGACTCCTTTGTTTTTAAGGGCTGCTTCCCAAGGAATTCTCTGAATAAGTCTCCTAAATAGGCCAAAGTCTGTCCTCTGAAAGTCCGATTAAATGTCTTATTGATGTTCCTCCTGGTTTCACCAAATACCAAGAACTCTATAATTTCATGATCACTATGCCCCAAGCAGCCTCCAACCACCCTATCTCCCACCAGCCCATCTCTATTTGCAAACAACAGGTCCAACATAGTCCCTCCCCTGGTGGGCTCTCTCACCAGCTGTGACAAAAAGTTGTCCACACACTCTAAGAACTTCCTGGACTTCCTCTTTTCTGCAGTATTAGGTTCCCAGCAGATGTCTGGTAGGTTAAAATCACCTACAAGAACAAGGGCTGGTGATCCCGAAACATTCTGCAGCTACTTATAGAATAAGTTGTCCATTTTTTCTTCCTGGTTGGGTGGACAATAACAGACTCCCAGTAGGATGTCAGCCTTGTTGGCCTTCCCCTTAAATTTTACCCATAGGCATTCAACTCCATTAGCTTCAATACCTATGGCATCAAAAGCCTCCCTAATATAAAGGGCCACCCCTCCACCTCTTCCCCCTTTCCTGTCTCTTCTGAAAAGCTTGTATCTATTCACTGCACTGCTCCTGCTATGTGAATTGTCCCACCACGTTTCTGTGATGGTGACTATATCACAGCTTTGCTGCTGTACCATGGCCTCCAGCTCTTGTTTGTTACCCGTGTTGCATGCATTGGTATATATGCACCTCAGCTGGGCTACTGATTTCACCTCTAACTCAGGCTTATCACCCTCGGGCCTGGTTCCAGACTGCCCAGCTGCACCCCCTTCCCCTTTCAACCCTAGTTTAAAGCCCTCTCAATGAGTTCTACCAGTTCATGAGCTAAAATCCTTCTGCCCTTAACAGAGAGATGGAGCCCACTCAGTTCCAGCAGGCCAGGTGCTGAAAAAGTTGCCCCATGATCAAAGAACCCAAAATTCTGCTGATGATACCAACCCTTGAGCCACTTGATAATATGGGCTCTCCTTTTCTTTTCACCGTTCTTCTATGCCATCAAAGGGACCTAGCAGAACACCACCTGCGCTCCTGCTCTATCAACCACTTGACCCAGTGCCCTAAAGTCCCTTTTAATTGCCCTGACGCTCCTCTTTTCAATCTCATCACTGCCAGCCTGTAATATCAGCAATGGGTAATAATCAGTGGGCTGAATCAGCCCAGCAAATCTCTTGTAATATCCCGTACCCGGGCCCTAGGGAGGCAGCAGACCTCCCTGTGGGATGGGTCTGGTCGTTATATGGGGCCCTCTGTTCCCCTCAGAAGGGAGTCACCCACCACAACTACCCTTCTTTTCTTTTTGATGTTAGAAGTGGTGATCCATCTGACAGATGAATCATAATTGGGAGGCTCACTGGGCAGATCATTTTCTTCTACACCATCTAGCTGACCCTCTAGATCCAGGGCCTCATACCTATTCTGAAGTGGCACCTGGGTAGGTGATGGGGGTTGGGAGGAATTTTTATTATTACTTTCCATTTCCACTCCCCTTCATCCCCCAGGTATCCTCCTATTGCCTGACAGTGGGAGGTTTGTGAGTCCTCTGACTCCTGGTGGGCCTCCCTCAAGGATGGACAGGCAGAACTACACCAATCTATTTCCCTTTCACTTTCCCTAATAATCCTTAGCCTTTCTACTTCCTCCCTAAGCTCGGCCACCAATGAAAGGAGATTGTTCACCTGTTCACACCGCAGGCAGGCTTATTCTGCAACGCCCCCTGGTACCACTGATAAGCTCAAATACTCTACACAGGAAGGGGTCTGGACAGATGCATGCTTTTTGGAGGGCTCTATTTGGCTACATGCACTTTTACTAACTGCAGTTTTTGATCCTGTAAAAACCATCACTAACAAAAAAAAACCCAAACCAAAACAAAAAAACCCCCAAATCAACCAACCACAAAAAACAACAAAGGAAAAACCCCTCTCACTAGCAGGAAACCTGCAACCCTGCCTGTTTGCCCTGCTTGCGTGAAGTGCTGCATAAAGGGCCTCCCCTTGCCTCTGTTTGCCCGCTCCTGTTTGCCGTGCTCCCTAGAGCCCTCTTTCAATCACCCCGTGGCTCACCAGAGGAAAGCCCCACCCTGTGTTTGCGTGGGTAATGAGAACCAAGGATGTGAATTGCTACTAATTTGCTTTTTGTTTTGTAGCTGCAGAATGCCTCAAGTCCTGGGCAACAGCAGTTCACAGGAAGAGGCTGCTGTATATTATGCATCAGAATCAATTGTCTCCATTACTGTCTTCACCATCGTTTTCATCATAGGTGTCCCAGGCAATGGGTTGGTGATCTGGGTAGCTGGTCTGAAAATGAAAAGGTCTGTGAACACTGTCTGGTTCCTAAACCTTGCTGTGGCTGACATCATGTGCTGCTTGTCCTTGCCCTTTTCCATTGTTCACCTGGCCCTCCATGAACACTGGCCCTATGGCTGGTTCCTCTGCAAAGTTATTCCAACAGTCATAATCTTCACCATGTTTGCTAGTGTCTTCCTACTTGTGGCCATCGGCATTGATCGGTGTCTCCTGGTGATGAAACCTGTCTGGTGTCAGAACCACCGAACAGTGAAATTTGTATCACTGATATGCAGTGGCATTTGGATGCTGGCCTTCATTTTCTGCTGCCCTGTCTTCTACTACCGTGAGACAAGCACTTACGACGGCAAAACGGAGTGTGTGTACAATTTTGGAGTTGATTACGTAGATGATCCTGTAAATGCATCTGTAAATGAGTTATGGGAGGAATACGAAATCTACAATGGTAGTGACTTTTGGGGAGATACCAATGAAGGTAATGACTCCATAGCCCTTGCATCGGTGGTAATAAACATCACTAGGGTTGTCTTTGGCTTTGTGCTGCCCTTTGGCATAATGGCAGTTTGCTACGCCCTTATTGCTTTCAGAACACATGCAAATCAGTTTCACAAGCCACACAACAGGACACTGCGAACAATCGTGTTCGTGGTAGCTGCGTTCTTCATCTGCTGGGCTCCATACCACATAGTTGGGATTCTCCACATTGTACCTAGTCTTGGAACAGGATGGAAGGAGTCACTGATCCTGTGGGATCATTTCTCTATAGCACTTGCCTATGCCAACAGCTGCATCAATCCCCTGCTTTATGTTTTTGTGGGACAGAACTTCAGGGCAAAGGTACGGCAATCAGTGCAAAGAATCTTGGAAGGTGCCTTCAGTGATGAACTCACATCTTCAAACCTTCACAGAAGCCAGACTTCAGGAGAGAAGAACGTTATCAGCACCTTCTAATGCAAGACTTCCTATCACCACTGTAGAAAGGGCAAGCTACAGCACTACACATCAATTACTCTCCACTTAGCAGATGGTTTTGCTCCAATATGTTTGATTAAGCTGCAGCTCCAACCCAGGACACTGCAATCATTCAGCTCATGACAGATAACTGTATCTTACTCTAGAGAGATAGGAAGTTGGAAGCACCAAGAGTAATAATCTGAGGGATGACTGGTGAAGCAGAAGACACAGTATTTTAACTTACATAGACTATTTTAAGAAAGCAGGGCTGGCTAAGATTTGTCGTGGGAATGATGTAGTTGAACCTCTCAATTGAGGTAAGAATGTAACTTTATTTGTATATGTTTGTGTTCTACATCTCCTGTCTCTGATAAAGTGCAGATAAAACTAACGTGGATATTGCTTCTTGGAAGGTCATCACATCTTTCCTCTGACTCTACTAAGGCTCTGAGGTGTGTGTAGGAATATCTGAAGATCGCCCTAGAGGGTACTGCTACATTTCCTTACAGCCATGCACTAGAACAGCACTTGCCCCAGTCAGCTGCACTGAACTGACTTTTGTGCCCTGGTAGACGCCCAATCTATTTCTTTGTCCTGGCAATTACATCAGTGTCTGGCAGTAACTCGTCAATGTACATGCTGTACCTACGTTCATTAGCATGTGCACATTCACTGTCTCCCCAGCACTCACTCCACTACCAGAGTCCCAAATTTCCCTTTTAGGAGGCCATTTGAGGTTATCCAAATGTACCTACTGCATTTTGAGGTGGCACATGAGCAGAATTTGAGATTGGGCAATTACTAGACTATCATCCATTTGGCAAAACCCTGGAACTAAGAAGTGATAACCTCCAATCTGACCCCAAGAAGGTGGGAATGACCATGTTGTCGCTCAGTCACATCAGGCTCTCTTTACAAGAGAGACGCGCTTCTTATGTCCTTCCAGTGAAGAAAAATTTCATCCAATCAGGCTATTTGGGGTGTTCCCAAGGTTGAATATTCCCTGCTCCTGAAAAGCAGAAATATATTTACTAGGTACTCTATGGAAGCAGTTTAAAATCTCCTTTTTGTGTTAGTTCTTCCTTAAAAGAGAAAGGTCAGCAAATAGTATGACAAATAGGACAGTAAGGATTGGTAGAGTTTTCATTCTGCCTTTCTGGTGAGCATGAATTGAAAGACTCTCAGATCTCACTGCCCTGAACAGCCAGCTGGGAGAACCTTCAGCTCTTAACATCCTAAGAAGTCTCCACCTAAAGAGCACCAAGGTGTGGGCTGTCCATTTAGCCATGTCCACACCCAAATTCTTAAGGTGGGAACCAAGCTGTCCTGACAGGCGCCGCTAGAAGAAAAAAATCAATACTAGCACCAAAACAGTTAAACCATAAACATTCACTTTTTCTTTTTATTAAGAAAGCATGCACAAAAATAAACTCGTGAGACCACGCCCCTCTCTCCCTGACCACTGACACAAAGCATTGGGGGCCACATTGGGCTGGAGAGGCCTGCAAGACCCCTCTGTGGGCCAGGCTGGCCCCCCTGCCCTGCCTGCAGGCCGGTGCCAGCGCACCCGCAGAGCTCCACTCCCGTCCGTCGATGTCTTACCACGCACTAACAACACACATTGATTTCAGGGGCAGAGGAACGAGGCTAATTTGCACACTGACCGGCATGTATTTACATATGCAAATGAGGCACAACTTAATACGCAAATGAGGCAAATATGCAAATGAGGAGCACTTGGATACGCAGAAGGAGCCATCTTGGTTTGTCTTTCTTCCAGTGGTGTTTTCAGACTTCCACAGGGCTGGCTCTCAGTAATGTCCACTGCAAAACACTAACTGGCACCTGCCATAAGCTGTCTCTCATTGTTGTCTCTGGTGCACAGAGACCTATCACACATGCTTCCAAGCTGTATCATTCCCACATCCTGAGGCAGCAGAGATAACAGCTGACTCCATGTTGAAGCTGTCTGGGATTCCTCATTTCTCTTGGAAATGCTCAACGACGAACTCCCCCCCAAACACACACTTAAAAAAAAAAAAAACCCACAAAAAAAATCTGAAGGAAAAAAGAAAAAAAAAAAAAAAGTGTTGTTTCCCCCTCCAACGCAATGAGACTCTGTCTACTTCCCTGACAACAATCCAATTTCCAATTGGTTTATCCCTACAGCAAATTTAAAAAGCAGTGCTAGTTCCCCACCTTCCTGCAGTCAGAATAGAGGTTATTACTTTACTCCTGTGCTCTGGGTCTGTCAAGCAGCCATGATAGTCTATTTCCACATTTATTCCCTTCAGTGGTAAATAGGGAATAAGGGCCAGAGGGAGGCTTTACAAAATACTAAGAGGAAACAAGAGGTTTGACAGAACAGAGCCATACGAGAAAAGAAGGGGAACACAGGACACAACTTCGGGGAGGAAGCATCTCAATGCTCACTCCTGTTCCTGCACCTTTTCCACCTTCCTGATTTGCACATGCTGACAAAGCTCATCCTTCAGGATTTACAGTAGATTACATCATCTCCCCATCTGAACTGCAAGGAGTCTGAAACACCCTCCTTCCTCCCTTTTATACTACACTCTTTGGCAGGTTGGTTCAAAACCCTGCCCTGCTTTACCCTCTCTCCCCTACTGCCCCTGTTACAAAATCTGCTTGCAAGGGCCTCCCAGTCCCTGACCAGAGGGTCCAGCCCTTGACCAGCAGCCCCCAATTCAGCCCCACTCTGCACAGCAGCTTCCTCTGCCCACCATGAGCCCATTCAACAAGTGGGAACCACTGACAGAGGACGTGCACCTACACATTCCTGTTGTTGACATCAGGCAAGGACAGCCTCCGAAGAAATATGAGGGGTGGACGACCAAATAACAATTGGACAAATACTGATGGGAGAAAACTTCCAAATTTGCATATAAAAGGGAGAGCCTCACTACATATTTTGAAAAAGGACTTGAAGGGTTGTGGGGTGAAATAAAAAGCTCTGGGGAACAGAATTTGCTGAATCACATATGACACCCCTGACTGCTTCTTCTACCCGATGGGTATGTAGACTTCACCTAGAGACTGCAAAAGGCGGTGTAGGAAATGGGTCAGGATTCCCTCTAAATCTCTCAGTCTTCACAGATGGCACCACACTCTGAAATCCAACTTCTCTGCTGAAATACCATCTCTACTACATTCTCCTTTCTCCAAACTCAGGTCTGCCCTCCCAGCTAAGTTCAGCTCTCCCTACCTCAGGGATTACCCTCTCTTTGTACTTGGGAACACCACTTCTTTTCTCGCTGTTCCTGTGATGCGACAAAGTTCACAGAGCTCAGATCACCCCTCCAGTGTCCCTTCAGCCCCCTGACCTTTACAACATTTACGAAACAACAGAACTACAGGCTCCCAGGGTCCACTAGGCTCTCTCACTCCAGTAGCCAATACAACAGATTCACCGGCCACCTTGAAGGGAAAGAGGGATTGTTAAACGCAAAATAATGGAGGCAGAGAAAGATGCACTCGAGGATTCAGCCTTCCAAGGTCTTTTCATGGCACCAAGGACCCATCTTCCCGCCCTCCACAGGGCACTGCGCAACACGAAAGAGCCGATCCGATGTGTCCGAGGCCACTGGGGGAGGGGGAGGGCTGTGCTCAATTATTGGTAATAATAATAATAACAATAATAATAATAAACAAAAGAAGAAAAGAAGATAAAACAGGACGCAAGGAAGGATTATCTTCGGCAGCATCTTGCGGTGGCTTCTCTGGCGGAGATAGAGAATATATATCTATATACAGGCAAGGCAGGGAGGACTGGGGAGGGTGGTGCTGACACCATTGACCCCATGTCCCCCTCCCCTCCCACGTCCTTCATAAAGGACGGGCTATCAAGTCTGTAACTCGCTAGGTGATCAAGTCCCAGTCGAAATCATCGGGGATTTCCTCATTGGCGCCTGGAGGAGGCACTGGAGGCCGAGGGACCAGATGATGAGCTGAGCCAAAAACAAGAAAAAAGAAGAAAAAGGAAAGAGAACAGTTAGAATCCAAAACTACATGTTTTTCACAGTGGCACTTGGGCAAAAGAAACCACAAGTGATTTGGGCCTTTTCTTTTCCAACAGTCTAACAAGCAAGAACACTACTGGCATTAATCTCTGTCAGCATCTATCAGTATCTAGGAATGTTCTGCTGTGAAATTCTCCACAGCAGCTTCTACAGAAGTTAAGTTTCAGCCTCCTTTATGTACCTCATAGCTGACTGCTGATAGAGCACAAGCTCAAACTTCTTCAACAGAAGCATCTCATGTACAGTTGTCTTCAAACAACTAACTGAGGGCGAGGCTAAGCTAGAGGACTATTTATGTGAAGTGAAAGAAATCAGGCCTTTGAAATCCTAAACTTTTCCAGAGCTATAACAGAACCCTAAACGGAAGGTCTCTTGCAGTCCATGCTCCCTCTCTACCCACAGTGCTCCATTTGATTACTAAGTGCTTTGGGAGAAATGCACAAAGGGATTGGGAACCAGGTCCCTAATGTTCATTGGTGTAATATGCCTTAACATCATCCCTTACCTGGGCGATTATATCCTGGCGAGTCCTGGGTGGAAATCTGATACATAGGAGATGGCCCGGAGAAGAGATGGGGAGGCTGGGGCTGACCATAGGAGTTCACTGTGAAAGGAAATGAATTAACAAAAAAAACAACTGTTAATGTTCAGGTCAGAAGTCTGGCCCCTGACTGGGTGGCAGCTCAGCCACAGAGCAACTCACTCAGACCCACAGGATACTGAGGAGATGTTCAGCTGTTGGGTCCTAACTCCAAGCTATAGCTTGGTCAGGGATCTTGATCTTGAAACCAGCAGGAGTTTCTCTATTATTGTAAAAGAAGAAAATTTTCATCCAGAAACACCACAAGCTGGCTCAATACCATTCATTTAGTTCAGTACTAGATGACACACACCATTACAGTTCTATCAAGACCACCATATCCCCTTCTCAGAATGCATCCTCTACTCTTTGTACAGTATTTCTCCAACAAGGGTACAAAGGCTTTCTCCTTTACTATTCCTGCCATCTGGAATAGCAATCTCTCTACCTTGCCATTCCTCTCTGTTGGTCACCTAAAACACACCATCCTCTTCTCTTCCAGGTTTGCCTTTTAAATATATTCCTGCCTGGAGGTTGCCTGTATGCATCACATAACAGAAGTCTGTCCAGACAACAGGTATAGGACATTCCAGTTCTTTAAAGCCACAGAAAGCTGAGTTGCTATGAACAGCTCTGACAATGTAGCTCTGAGTGGCTCAGTGCTGCATTGTCTGGTAAGGCTGCAAGTAATTTAGGAGACTCGCAGAATGGGGCCTTCATTTTACACGCCACTTTAGTCTCCTCCTAATTACCTTGGTTCATGGATTGCTCCTGTTTGCCAC